CCAGGAGCTTGAGTCCTCTTTCTACAACGGGGTGTTTCCATGGCAACAGTTGAAGCAGCACGATGCTGCTAGCCTTTTGAAGCTGTTCATCAGGGAATTACCCCATCCACTGCTGACTGTAGAGTACCTCAATGCATTTATTGCTGTCAACAGTATGTATGCCATCTGTTCATAAAGTATTCTGCTTAATCACAAAAGCTTTACATCCACATTATGAGACACATAAACTGAAAAAAACCTTGCATTAAGCCTTTCTGTATGCGTGTGTGTGTGTGTGTGTATGTGTGTGTGTTTACAGAGCTCCCCACAAAGAAGCAACAGCTGCAGGCTTTGAACCTGCTGGTCCTTTTGTTACCTGAGGCCAACCGGGATACTCTGAAGGTAGATGCACGCTCTGTTTGAAATGAATGAGGAACTCTGGACTATTTCTATTTTAAACCTCATTTATGTTTGCTTCCACAGGCACTAGTGGAGTTTTTCCAGCGTGTGATCGACCATCAGGCCAAGAACAAAATGACTCTCAACAATGTCTCTGTTGTCATGGCACCCAACATCTTCATGTTCAAGGGCTTCCGCTCCAAGGTTACAGAACAACAGGAGTTCTCCATGGCAACCAGCACAGCCAACATTGTCCGGCTGCTGATAAGATACCAGAATCTTCTATGGACAGTAAGGATCAAAGAAGAGTCTAGCTTGATGTATTCTGCAATTCAAATCACCACTATAAACAACATGCATCATGGTTATTCACAAATTACTCACAAAAGCATCTGGATTTCTTTTTCCATGTAATGTGGTGGATGGTGTGTGTGGTGTCACTTTGTACTGAAGGTATCAAATCTCCCTTTTGTGTGTGTCTGTTGTCTCCAGATCCCCAAGTTCATTGTGAACCAGGTCAGACAACAAAACATGGAAAGTCAGCGGAAACAAAATAAAGAGAGAGCTGTAAGAAAGCTGCTGAAGAAGATGACTACCGATAAACCATCTGACAAAGCTGTCCCAGAGGTAGGAGTTCTCATTTTATGCTCATGTAGCAATTCATATGTATGAGAAATCACTGTTAATAGTTCACAGTTTTCATTATTTATACAATGTAACACCTACTACACATTTTTGTTTACATGTTTCATAATAATACACATATATCCAGCTTGTTTCAAAGTGGAGTTGTATGCCTCAACTCCAATATCACCAGTAAACAACGTCAGCCACAGCAAACGTTTTCCTATATCTTATGAACATGTATGGTAGTGTGAGATAAATAAATTATAGCTGAATTGATATAATAAGACACAACAAAAAACTAAATAGTCATACCATATGATACCAGCCAATCACCCTGCTGTATGGTGGTCATAAAGTATAGTGCTGCTCTGAGTAGATTGTATATGCAGTCTGTTGAGAAATAGAGACATCCAGTGGTGATGTATAGGAATGGTGTTCCTATGTGGCCATATTGTGCAACATGTGGGAGCCAAATACAGGACAGTCAGCCAATTATTTATAAGATACTTAACCCAAATATATCGATGCAATCATTTTCACCATTCTATACAGTATACATGTTTTAATTGGATTCAGTAGTATCAAATCTAGCATTTAAAAACATCTGAAGATTTCTCACAAACTGAAATTAATACTGAAATGTTGGTTCCCTCACAAAAAAGGCAGTCAGTGTCCAAGATTTCACTTGGCTGTGCCATTGCTTATGTGAATCAATGTGAATGTCGTGATCACCAATAGGGATTTGGCTTTTCTCTGCACTAAATAAATTAACAATCAAGGTATTTGGCAAACTATGGCATACTATGTTATAATACTGGAATACAGCTAAGCTAGCAGAGTATAGCAGCACATTATAGAGTACTGTCCTTCTAGACAATATGGTGGTGAATGAGTAACTACAGCAACACTTGACCCTGGGTGTTCAGCTGAGTTCTGTGAGACCAGACAGTGTTTGGAGTTTATTAAACACAAGAGCAGGAATTTATCCAAGTCCACATTCTTGTTGCATGTTGTGTGCGATGAGGACAGTGTTTTGGACCTCATTACTGTGAAGTGTTTATGGCTATATGATTGACTGTATGTTTTCTCACTCTCTGTTTGTCCCTGTGTTTACAACCAGGAGAGTTCGCAGGGATTTATTCGAGTCCAAGCACCGCAGTTCAGTAAAGTGTCTATGATGGTTCAGCTTACTGAAGAGCTGCAGGCTGCTGATGTATTAACACGCTTCCTCAGCCAGGACAGGTAATGTGTACATAGATACGGCACTGCATACAAATACACATGCAGTATTTGTTTTGGCTAAATAAGGTCCATCCTTAACTTTTTCTCTTACTCTCTCTCGTGCTTTCTCTCTTTGTCCCCCCCAGTTCAGTGTCAGTGAAACGAGAAGAGCTGTGTCTCTATGAGATTGGTGGAAACATCAGTAAGTCTGGCTCCTACCATAAACTGATCTGTTAAAATGTGAAAAAAATTTACTTTCTTCGGCCTTTGCAGCTATCAGTTAAAGTAACTGCATCATGTGTCTTTTTTGTTGTTTCTCCTCTCTTGCCTCTTTATCTGCTGCCTCACAGAGGAGAGATGTCTAGATGAGGAAACGTATATGAAAGACCTCATCCAGCTGAACCCTACAGCAGAATGGGTCATCAAAGCTGTACAGCGATAATCCTGCTGCACGCTTGACTGCTCCAAATGTTCACCATCGCGTCCTACTGAGAAGAGAAGTCACCTGGTTCGCTGTGGTTTCTGATGGTTCTGAACCTACTGGCACAATCCACTTTGTAGCAGAAACATTTCTGAGCACAGGTGGTTGCATAGGGTTCACACAACTGGCTGGTCCTGAGAACTGCCAAAAATACAAGTAGTCCAATGGTAGTTTTAAAATGTATGAAACTACTTTTGATGAAATCTGTGTGGAAATACTTTTTTTCTCCACTAAGTAGAACAACCAGATTGTGAGACAAGAAAAAGGGAAAAGTATGTGCTTGGATTTACAATAACATAGACTTTTCCATTTTTCCCACCCTGCATTATGCTACAGAATTTTGGGTCTCATGTACCACAAACCTAAAGTATGTGCAGAAGAAAACCACTTGTTTTTATTAAACCTTGTCATTTGTGGAGTCCTGACAGACCAGTGTTGTACTGTGATGGAAGTATACCATTTCTCCCACTTTGTCACACTACTTTAGCCCCAATATTGTGATTCTTAATATTATGTACTACTGCAAGTATTGCAGTTGTATACTGTGATTGATTGCCACTAATCACTTTGTTGTGTCTGTAATAATCAATTGAAATAATAAAATTATGGGGCGATAAAATATCAAAATTCTATTAAATCACAAATTAATTACATAACATAAATAAATTTAAGGTCTATTTTTATTTTGAGAATATTGGCCTTTATTTATTTATGGTTTCATTAAAATCCTTTAAAAAGCAAATATATGGTCACAATGTTAAATGTTTATGTATCAAATTGGAGTGAATGTAAGGGAGGGGCCCCAGCAGTGACCCCCAAAGTTTTCATAATTATATCGTCACTGACCGCTAACCGGGGCACGCAACGATGACGTCACTGTTTTTAAGGTACATTAATATTGCTGTACGTTCTAACTTTTTAAACCATTGATGTTTGAGTGTGTTAATGTGTGAATCCATCTTCAAAAACTGCTAGTCAACACATTTTATATATAGCCTCTGTGTAAACTCGCTTGGAATTTAATTGCCTTACAAGTTTTGTACCAAAGATTTGATCATTTTAAAGATGTTTAGAGATGGTTTTAAAGAAATAAATTGCTGACTATAAATGGCCTTCTTCAATGATACACTCTAAAATGATGGATTGTGAAAGTATCTGGACATTACTACTTTTAGCTTGTTTTGATATTTGACTCTGTACTCTTCTCAGTCTGGATATGAGTTGATGGAGTCCTCTGGCAAACGTTGTATTAATCCAGGAATAGAAAATCTCCATTTTATCTTTTTGGCACATATCTGTACTTCTCTTGGCTTTCACTAAGAGTCTAATCTAATTCTGTGTAGTTTCTCAGTTTCAACAGTCTGTGGAGGATCATATCTGTACCACAAAGTCAAACATTGCAGATGTTACTCTTGTGAAGAGCTGTGGAGTGTTGACAACAAATATTCTGTCACTGTTCAAAAATTCACTTCCTGCCTTTTATTATCTTGTTTACTGTGAATGTTGTTTTTTTCCCCCCCAGATTATGATGTTGTATGTGTTGTATGTCTTATTACTGCCTCTGAAATGACCACTAAACCAACCTGTAAATAAATATGCAATTATTAATTAAATCTGATGGTATGAGTGCTTCTGTATGCAAAGGACCTAACAGAGTGCAATGCACACTTAACAAACACTGGTCGTAGTCCTGTCTCTCTCCTGTCTGCCACTGTATGTATTTGTATTTCATATGAAATGAGAATCTGCTACAGGAAGTGGCTCGCTCAGACAGCTGACAGCCCTGATCAGGTACTGTTTCCTTTAACTAATTTCATGAGAGAATGAATGGCCTCAGTGAGTCCAAAGGGTCTGAGTGCTAATTACCTTAGGGAGGCTTACAGGGCCTGAGACAAAGTGCACTGGTTTACTATGGATTAGAGACCGACACCAAACGTAACAGAGCATAGACATGTATCCTCTATGGTAACAGACGTCTGAATGCAAAAATCCCAGCAACATGAGGTGAATGCAATAGTAACCACATGTTTCGCTATCATGAAGAAAAGTGACATTAGTGAAGAGTAAAGCGGCAAGACACATTTCTGTCACATTTGATAAATATATATATATATTTGTGATTTTATTTTTCTTTATGTGTGTGGTACTCCTGTGACTATTATCTTCATAACGTGTTTTGGTGTCGTGGACAAACCCGTCAGCTAGAAATATAATTGTGTACGCACCTGATTCGCTAACGCATCTTTGCTCCCCGCTCATTGGCTACTGTCAAACTACGCGCGCTGTGATTGGTCGAGCTGCGAGAATAGGAAGTGTCGATCAGTAGTAGGGGCTTAGGGTAGCTAAGTAGTATCTGGTTAATATAAAGGCTAAAGATTTACCGTTTTTGCCGGTAAACTCGGATATTTTGAAGTACCGAGAGCTACTCGGAAGCCATTTATTTGACCGGGGTGTTGCCTCTCTCGCAGATATTGCGCTGTTTGGTTGTGCTGTGTGGCAGTGTAACACTAGCTTGTTAGCTATCTGAACGTCAATTGAGCCAGGTACTACTCTGCTAGCGTAGCTTTGCATTGGAGTTCGTTAGCTTGTCTGACAGCTACAGTAGCTACAATTCACCACGTTGTTATACAGAGAAAATACGGCTACGTTTTAGTGAGCGTGTGTGTGTGTGAGTTTATTTATGCTACGAGTCACAGTGCGCCTCCACTGCAACTGAATGTTTGCTGATAGAAATAGCCACAGCTACAGCTAGCAGACTGTTAGCTCGTCAACAATGGGCTATAAGAGGCATTTAAAGACCGCAAGAACGTTTTATCTTATCACCATCCTGCTGGTTGTCTTCGTCAAAGGAATAACAGCTGGTACGTATGTGTGTTTTCTTGTATAATTGGTTAGTACCTGAAGTGTCTGTGTGTTAAACTGTTGCAGGTAGCTGCTCATATTTAGCGAACAGCTTCGTCAGTCTCAAGTTAACACTGTATTTTGTGATGTTATTATTTTTTAGATGAAGAGCAGCACGGTAATGACGGACCAGAGCTGAAGGTACGCCATGAGCTGTTTGATGTTGGTCTTCAAGTTCGCATATCAGACCCTGTTGAATATTGACTCGACTTCATTAGAAATGCAAATGTGATGGGAAGTAGAAAACTATACAAATGGGTTTTGGTATCATTTTATGCATGCCATGTTATCTGCTACCCAGTATCGTTCATGGGTTGAATCTTATCACATTTTACTGTGTGTTATTTCAGGGTATTCATGATATGTTGACACTGAAACAGAGATAGGTAAATTTAAACATGTCCAAGCTAATAACCACATGCTTTGGTACATTTTTAGGAGGAAGTATTTAATCAGAATTGTTATGTTTAAAGTTACCAGTAAGAAGAAAAAATAGATCTATTCTGTCCAGGTGTTGACTCCAAAAAACTATTAACTGTGTGATTTATATTTTCCAAATGACTCAAAACAATGTCCTTTCTTATAAAACATTATTTAAAAGTTTATATTTCAAGAAGAAATTTTAAAGCCAATTACTGTGTTGCAAGACTTTTGCGAGATATAAATCACTGTTAAGTTTACAACTCATATCCTAAATGTTCTGTAAAATAGCCATCCATAACTTTTGACTTAATCAGCTGTATTCAACCTATTTCAATGTCCAATGTGATTCCCACTTTTCATCTGTTCCTTTACAATAACTTATCTTATCGCTTCAGTCGTACCATGACCCAGACTCTGAAGAGGAAGACGTTCGTCTGGCGTCAGGAATTGTGGCTGGTGCTTCTGTGACCTCTGGTCACGAAGTCTCCCAGCCAGAAGAGGTGAAACAGACACCTGACAATGGACTGGAGGGAGAGGAGAAGGAGGACCTGCCTGAACAGCCTTCCCCAGTTGAGGAGAAATCTAAAGAGGGTAAGGAGGAAGTTTTAGCTCAAACAGTGAGCAGCCAGAAAAAAGACCCACAGGATAACTGGTTAGTTAGTTAACTTTGAGCATGCACTCCTTGTCTAATTGTTAGTTGAATGCATTTAATGTTGTGAATTGAGTTTTGAGCTTCTGTGTTTTAACTACAGAACACATGCTCTGCTTTTCCTGGTTTGTTTTCTTGGCTTATGTATGTGTCTCCAATTGCCTGTGTGAGACAGAGATCATGAGCTGGCATACTGTGTGTTACTGATAGCAGACTGCCTTTTGAGAGATGTTTTTTCCTGTCCAATTAAAGCCAGACATGGATGAAGCAGTGGAATAGCTATGAAACTTTACACTAGAAAATGTGGCTTTCATATGCTTCTTAAAATAAGCACTTGTATGGGGACACCCACTATGACACTACTAAAATAGGATTATGACAGCTGATTATTTCATTTATCCTGTAAGGCTTCAAATATCTGTGTTAACAGCTTGGACACTGCAGTTTCAAATGTAACATCTAACTATTGTAAAGAGGGATGAAATCATTTATCTATAATTATTTTGCAGAACTATTGATACACTTTATGTTCTATGAAAGCCAAAGTATGTTTGTAAAGTTTTAATGAACTTTACTAGAAAAAATTACTTTGAAGAGTCAGAACTGCTGTTTTTTGTTGGTAACAATAGTGATGTCAGTTAGATTTTGTTAGATCAGATCTATAATATATTAAATCATCCATCTGTGCACACTACATCTTAACATTTCTTAAAAACGACTGGTTATGAACTTATTTTTAAAATAAAATGGTGAGTTATCTTATCTATATCAACCATGAGAAGCAGGTAACCCAGGTGTGTTATTGTATCAGCTGAACTATTTTAAATGCTTAGATGTTCCAAAGTACTTTAGCTCCATATGAGTTATTTAAGACCTTAAGATTTACCTTGTCTCAAATGACATCTGTTTTAGAGAATGAAGTCTGTCTTGTCTTATTTTGTAAGCTTCGTTGAGTCTTGTCCTCCTTTCAGTTTTGCTGACTCTGAGCAAAGACGTGTGTGGTTTCAGAGCAGTGCCAGATTGGATAAACGGTTAAACCCCATGAGAAATTAACAGCGCTTTGCACCTGTGGCCCCTCTTGCAGACAGTTGCATCATTTTACTTGAGGATTGTTAGTCTATTTCCAGCTGTCATATAACATTGAGCTTGTATGAAGATGGAGATTTACTGACATTTATTAAAACGAACAGACTTTGTATGTTTAATATCAAGTTGTAAATCCTGAACTACTGTTTCTTCGGGGAAAAAACAGATTACATTGGATATGGTAACACTTTCTCCATGTTATCATACTATATCCAGTTATTACTTATATACTTTATTGTTTTTAGTATTTGTATGATCTGATATATTTATGTGTTTTTGTTCTGTTTTTTGATACAGTTCCTGTTGTGAATGGAGGTACAGCCCATGGAGAGCCCTGCATCTTCCCCTTCCTCTTTCAGGGGAAGGAATACTTGGACTGTACCACTGATGGACGGGGGGATGGACGGCTGTGGTGCGCCACAACCTACGACTATGACCAGGAGAAGAAGTGGGGTTTCTGTGAGAGTAAGTCTTCAACTTAATACCTTCACTATCATAATCTAAACATTTCCCCAAAGCAAATGTGGCTGTTGTTGTTGTTGTTGTTATTATTATCATTATTATCATTATTATCATCTTTTTTTTAAGCCAAAATGCAGCCATTCATCAGCCTATAATACTTTATTTGCTTAAATGGTTGGATAAACCTTTTTCAATATGCTTGGCTCATTTCCCACAAAGTCAGTAAATAAAGATAAATTGTTCATCAAAGCCTCAACAGCTTCTGAAACTAGACTGTGAGCATGGTTTCACTTCCAAAATTGCTATTGCCCCCTCTGCTGCCAGTTTTACAATCCTTTTTAATTTCTTAATCTGTATCTTCTCTTTTTCCCTTAGCGGAGGAGCAGGCACAGCAGAGACTGCAGGCGGAGGAGGCTGAGGAGCAGTATCAGACTGTCCTGCACATGCTCAATGCCACCACCAGGAAAACCCAGAAGAAAGAGTGAGTTACTTCCTTCTGATTAGTTTCATTGGTTTTCTATCAGCAAATTTTCTGCGTTGAACTTCTCTGTATTGTTTTAAACAGCATTTGGATTTGTAGGTAACAAATGGCATTATGACAAAAATGGTGTCATTTTGTTCATGAAATCTTAGATCTTATCTTTTATATATGGCTTTAGCAGCATAGACCCCACCACACTGACAATGGCAGATCTTTACTCTATTTTTTTATTTCAACCATCAGGACTGAATACCAGCCAGCTCACACAAGATGTCTCATTGTTTGTTTTGAAACACTGCAAATTAAAACTTACCAAGAGCCAGTCAAGCCTTCTGTGTGGACAGTCATCTTATCATGTGGCCTAAAGCTTCTTGTTTACTCTTGTTTAGCAGATGGCATTATTTGAGCTGACTGTAAATTTAGTTTTGGTATGGCTATATCTATTTTATGTGTGCTTTATTTCCATGTGACTTTGCTCAGCACATCATTATTTGCTCTAGGTGTCATACTGTTTGTTATGTACACATCAATTTTATTACGCCTGTGTCAAGTTGACCTCTCATGCGCCACTTCTGCTTATCCAACCACTCTCTCAGATTATATGAAAAGCTACTGAAAGTAGCAGAGAAGGGCCACCAGAAAGCCATGGAGAAGGTGGCGTATGCCATGCTGTTTGGAGACTATATGAACCAGAATGTCACCAAGGCCAAAGAAATGTTTGAGAAGCTTGCAATAGAGGGCTCACCTAAAGCTCAGACGGTAAAGATCTCATCCAAAAAGTGTGGAAAACATTTTGACCTGACATCTTATTAAATGGGCTGATTATTTGTATTTATATAATCTCTTGTGTAACACTGGGCTTTCTTTGCTTTTCCATAGGCTCTTGGCTTTCTGTACGCAGCAGGACTTGGAGTTAACTCGAGTCAGGCAAAGGTACTTTTTTATTCTGTATGATTGAAATAGTGTCTCACTAAAATGCCCATATTGTAAGTTACTTTGGACAAAAACGTTTTGCAAAAATAATGTATATAATGTCTCCTTTCTAAACAACTGTTACCTAAACTCTCCATTTTTCAGGCCTTGGTTTACTACACCTTTGGGGCACTAGGTGGAAACTTGGTAGCTCATATGATTCTGGTGAGTTCATTTGTCTGTCAGTGGAGCAATGACACAGTCACGTTACTTCTAAAGTATTAAAAAAAAAAAAGCAATATTTTCTCTTATTGTTTCATTAGGGATACAGATACTGGGGAGGTGTTGGTGTTCCCCAGAGTTGTGAGTCTGCACTAACACACTACAGGCTTGTGGCAAATCAGGGTGAGCATTTACTGCATTTTTAAGATACAATATTCAGATGTGATGTTCTGGTTCTTCTTGAGCAAATAACCTGATCAAAATTCCCTCTTTTCCATCTACTTCTGCTCCACTCTGTACTCCCTCACCACCTCCAGTGGCCAGCGATGTGTCCCTAACAGGGGGCTCAGCGGTGCAGAGGATCAGGCTGCTGGATGAGGTGGAGAACCCGGGATCTACCAGTGGGATGTTGGAGGAGGACTTGATCCAGTATTATCAGTTTCTAGCTGAGAAAGGAGATGTACAAGCTCAGGTAAATAGTGTCCTCATTAATCAATGTCTTTTGTTCAGTGGAGCAACAATTTATTTTTACATTACAACCTGTTTTTGCAGATCAGGGACAGTTTTTTTTTAAAATAAAAGATATAGAAAATCTGTTACAATTTATTTATAGAACTTCATTTATATATATATATATATATATATATATATATATATATATATATATATATATATATATATATATATATATTATAAAACGTGTTATTATGTCATAGCAAACAGACCTCATTGTGCTGCCTCACAGCCAAATGTTACATAAGAATGAGTAAAATGTGTTTTCCATTTTCATAGGTCAACATAGAATTTTCACTAGTAGTTGTGACTTGGTTACAGCATATTTTCTGCTACGTTTCAGTTGTCATCAAATCTGTCTTATGGTCAGGAAGATAATAATAGACGTAGCATGAAGGGAAAGCAACAGTTGACAACAGTCATAATCTCATTGCAAATATCTCAGGTATATTACATTTATGTAATTAGAGGAAGCCAATACGTCATTGTGTGAACGTTAAGTAATCAGTTATATTTATAATTCTAATTTTGTGTCATGGAGGTGAACCGAGCTCTTTATTTCCCCTGACAGGTGGGGTTAGGTCAGCTACACCTGCATGGAGGACGTGGAGTAGAACAGAATCATCAGGTGACCCTTTTATTCAAAGAGGTATTGTATTCTTGTGATTGTAATTTGCACCAGTAAATGTATTAATGATGCTTCCCATCCAACAGAGGGCGTATGACTACTTCACCCAGGCTGCAAACGCAGGGAATACACATGCTATGGCTTTCCTCGGCAAGGTGAGTGAGATGTCAGAATGTGGTGGAAACTGATTTATTTCTAATGAGACAGTTTTATTACAGTTCTTTCTTCTTTTTTTTTGTTTAACAATTACTAGCTTGCTGGATATTGTCCCTTACCAAACCAACTAGTTCAATATATTCAAATAGTTTCTTGTTGCCCATCCGTTTCACTTCTGTTTGTAAACATTATAATTGTGGTGCCCATACTGTGTCAGCACTTCTAAGAAGCAGTCAGTGAGTTAAAGAGAGATGGTCTAAACTGAATCCAAAATAAATCAACCCAATGATTTGGCATTGCTGTTTTAATAGAGGGAGGTGGAGTGCATTTGTATTTGAGGCACTGCATCAAGTTCTTGGTTTCTAAGAGACTGTTTTACTCCTTCTGTCCTCAGATGTACTCGGAAGGCAGCGACTATCTCCCTCAGAACAACGAGACAGCCCTGCAGTACTTTAAGAAGGCCTCTGACCTGGTAAGAATTAAGCTGTATATTTGTATCAGCATTTATCAACACAGTTATTCTTTAAGAGAAAGCAGCACTCTAGAGTGAAATAGTTTTTACCTCTTTGCTGATGTGTTATTCAGTTGTCATTCACTATCCTTCTCATTTACTTGCTTTCTTTATCCAGGGTAATCCAGTGGGGCAGAGTGGCCTGGGTATGGCCTATCTATATGGAAGAGGTGTCCCAGTGGTAAGAAACCTTTACAATTTACAATCCTTTTTTAAAATCATGTCTAAGTTTTAAGATACACCCTCTCAGACCCATTTTAATTTGCAGCTTGCTCTGTCTTGCTAACTTGGCAGCTACTCTTTTTGGCACTAGGATTTAGAATATTATGAAATTAAAAGTAAGGTGAAATGTAAATCTCAATGGGGTTTGGCGTACGAGGGTTTCATTTTGATAGCAAGCATGTCACTCATGCTGAAATGAGATGAGTGGCCATTTGAAAGTTGTGTGTTTGTGTCTTCAGAACTATGAGCTGGCACTGAAATACTTCCAGAAGGCAGCAGAGCAGGGCTGGGTGGATGGACAACTCCAGCTGGGCACCATGTATTACAGTGAGTGCTGAGAGCTGAATCTGTGTGTGTACATCTGTGCATGGTGTGTGCTTGTGGTACATAGCATCCTTTCTCCTTGTTGTCTTTCTGGTAAATCTCATTCCTGCATTTGAAGATTTGAATAATTTGTTTCTTTCACTATCCCTCAATCAGTCTCTCCCTTTACATCATTTTCATTTCTGTTGACTAGAATACTAATTTTCTCCTCCATTTAAAAAAATGTATTTCTCTCTCTTCTTCCTGTCATTCCTCAGATGGCATTGGTGTGAAGCGGGATTACAAGCAGGCACTTAAATTCTTCAACCTGGCCTCACAGGCAGGCCACATCCTGGCCTTCTACAACTTGGCCCAGATGCATGCTACTGGTACTGGTGTGATGCGCTCCTGTCACACTGCTGTGGAGGTAAGGCACCCAGGAGCTGCTTCTCCATTCTCTCTATTATGTTAAATTGAGGAGAATTGAAAACGTTTCTCTCCTGTGATTCAGGAATCACTCATCCATTTAAGCCCACAGGGATGTCACGATACCAGAAATGTGTGTTTGCGCCGATTCCATTAATAAATCACTCTTATTTTCTTTTTGTTGGTGGTTTGGCGAGTGTGTGGCTTCCCATCGCTCTCTTTCTCACATCTGACCAGGAGCTCAGCACCACCCGTGGTGGTGTTTTCACTGTACAAACACACAGCACAGCGACAGAGACACAGATGGAGAGTTGAGAAGGAGCGCTAGATACGAAAGTTTTGCGAGTAAATCACCTGTACCTCTGCACTTGTCGCCATCTCCGACATGTTCTTCTTCTTGTGGCATTCAACAGCCTACTGGAGTATTTGTAGGCTTATATGCTGCGCTGTCAGGTCCGGAAGAATTGCATACTGGGTACCTACTGTACTGTAGAAAAACGAGTACCTTCTTGTTATCAGAATGTTCTTATTGACTTGGTCACGAAAGTATCCGAAAAGTAAGGTTTTCGTGACATCCCTAGAAGCCCATATGCTGCGTATGTTGCCTGTCATTTGAGTTGAACAGTTATCATTCATTTTTAGTCCCCTTCGAGCTGTCTTTCTTTACACTCTTGTATGGTTTTGGAAGTAGTAAAGTGACACATTGTGTGCCTGTATCTTCTTTGCAGCTTTTCAAGAATGTGTGTGAGCGCGGCCGCTGGTCAGAGCGTCTCATGACGGCCTACAGCAGCTTTAAGGAGGGTGAGACGGATGCTGCGCTGGTCCAGTATCTGCTGCTGGCTGAGCAGGGCTATGAGGTGGCCCAGAGCAATGTGGCCTTCGTTCTGGACCAGAGTAAGAAAAACACGACATTAGTATATATTAGTGTCTTTAAAAAAAAACAACAAAAAAACTCTTTATAGTCTTTGTGTCGCTATTACAAAAAAAACTCTCTGACCCTGTGGAAGACAGTTAAACTGTATGTAAATATGATAGCATATATATACATACATATGGTTGTCTAGTTTCCTTATTCTTCTGTGTGACCTTTTGGTGATCTAACAAGGAATATTTATGTTAATAGTATCTACACTTATTTCCCTGAAATATAACAAGTGGCAGTAGGCACAGTTCATATTTAAGTAAGTCTTTGCCTCAGTTTAATCACAATTGGTTTGCTTCTTGGTAAACAAAAGCAACCCTGATTTAGTGAAAACATGTTGGGAAAAATGCTTGTATGTTTTATTATGTACATTTTCCCAAAATTATAATCCACCAATTTTAGTAAAAAAAAAAAAAAAAAAACCTGCTTACCTTTTGGATGTTTTTTGTTGTTGTCTTGTTGTATGGATTGTAACAAACAGAAGGAGCAAAGATTTTCAGTGAGAATGAGACCTACCCTCGTGCTTTGCTGCACTGGACAAGAGCTGCAGCACAAGGTGAGTCGGTACACACTGTCCCTCATCCATTTTATTTCTGTGCTGGATTTATTTTTAGCATTTAACATATTGGGAATCCATCTATGTTTGTTTTACAAAAGAAAACAAGTTGAATTTGGCTCCTTAAAACCTAACCATCTGCTAAGAATGGAAGCTGACATATGTAATTGTCATTCCCAGGTTACACTGTGGCAAGGATAAAACTAGGGGACTACCACTTCTACGGCTACGGAACAGATGTGGACTATGAGACAGCCGTCATCCACTACAGACTGGCATCAGAGCAGCAGCACAGTGCCCAGGCGATGTTTAACTTGGGTTACATGCATGAGAAAGGCCTTGGCATCAAACAGGTGGGCATGGAGTTTCACTGGTGAATACAGTTAATGCATTTGCTCATGTCAAATTGAAAAGATGTGTGATTCAGAATTGTTTCATTTGGCTCCGCAGGACATCCATTTAGCCAAGCGTTTCTACGACATGGCAGCTGAAGCCAGTCCTGATGCCCAGGTCCCAGTTTTTCTGGCCTTGTGCAAGCTGGGTCTGATTTACACTCTGCAGTACCTGCAGGATCTTAACGTGAGTACTGCTTGTTAAACTCTCCAGCTGGCGTTGTGACAATTTGGCTTCCAAATAGAAACTCAAGATTGTAATTCATCCAAATTAAAAGCTTTAATAGAGGGAACTGAAATTAATCATATGCGTCTTTGTCCTCCATCCTCTCCCCATTTGGCTTTGGCTCCTGTCAGTTGAAGGAGCTGATTTCTCAGGTGGACCTGGACCAGATTCTGGGCCCGGAGTGGGACCTCTACCTCATGACCGTCATCGCCCTGCTGTTAGGCACAGTCATCGCCTACAGACAGCGCCAACACCAAATCATAGTTCCCCCTCGCCCACCTGCCCCTGCCCCTGCCCCTACCCCGGCACCCCCACCTAGACCAGCTCAGGAACAGTCGCAAGCCCCGGCCGAGCCGCAGGGTCAAGAAGAAACACAAGCCCAGGCTCCAGCCCAGGAGGAAGAGGAGCAGCAGCAGTGAGAGGAAGCCAGACGGAGTGAGGGCAGTTAAAGACAGACATGAGGCTCTGCCAGCCTGCCCCGTGGAGCAGCTGGTGCTTACTAACTAAATACCTGCTAGTTTGAGCACCTCTCCCACTCTGCCTGCTCCCCTCCACATGCTAAAAGAAGACTGAGATGGCTGCTGACCTGTGCAGTCTCACAACTCCCTTTCTCCATTTCAAATATGCTGGTCCTGTGTTGAAGAAAGGCAGTGGGGGTGTTTATGGACAATGCTACAGAACAGAGTGTTGCGAGGATAACACAGACTTGTGACTCAGGATACTGCCAGAAGCACCCGTGTCCTCACCATGGAAAAAGCCTTGCGATTACCAGATCAAAGGCATTTTGTGACTTGACTAATCAACATAGTCAACATAGTTGGAATCTGATATGAGTATTAGTTTCTTTTCACTTTCCCTTTTTTTTTTTTGAGAAAGTAACACTCAAAACTGCTTCAATCAAAAATTCAGGCAGGAAAACGGGAACTAGAATAATTTTATTTGCGAGTTGCTAAAGAAAGTCATGTTTTTGCATGTTTTCTCATCATTTTGCAGACTTTCATTTTAGGCACCTTTTTTTTCAGATACTGAAACAAGTGAACAAATTTTGCATTCATTGTTATTTGTTTAGTTGACATGTCAGGTCAGTTACCTGTTACATACCTGCAATTCACAGAAACAGTTTGTGTCCATTCAACATTAGTAACAATGCTAAACTGTGCTAAAGCCATGTTAATGTCATTAATATAAGAAGAAGAAACCTGTTAAGAGGTTTTCTTTAATTAATAGAAACTTGGACTGATAATTTTAAGTACACAGGTGGAGACGTCTTCAACATGGCAGACACACAGAGAACGAATGAGAATCTGCTGAAGTCAGTCAAAACTAAGCTGCCGCTGAAATCCTTGATGCAGATCCTGTTTGAAAATTCATCCAGACGCGTCCCTCTCCAAAAACAGCGACAGCAGAGTGCGCAGGCTTTTAGAAATTCAAGTTAAAGAGCAAATATCAGAAAAACTGATGTTTAGAGTTCAGTAAAAGACAGGGGAGAACAGTTTTAGAAGGTGTACTGTACGGTGGTGAGATATTGTCATCGTCAGGCTTTGATTTCATTCTAGTGGTTGGTTTTTGGAAGGTAGCTCAATAGTTCCTCTCTTCCCACATGCCCTGTTTTTTTTTTTTTTTTTTTTTGTTAAGCCTCGTGTTAGCCGAGGCGTAAACTGGAGCAGCCTTAAATATAGCAGCGCCTCAAACTCTGGATTGTTTCTACATTAGAGGAAGTGGTTTAGTGTTTTTTGTGTTTGGTTACACAACTTCAGCTGTTGTGAGAATTTCCACCCCCTCACCAAAAGTCCAAGTTGGAGCTCAATTCTCTGCCTACACTTTTCAGCTCAGATGGACCTCAAATGAAGAAATTAAGCCATGGTTAGGCCAGACAGTATTTATCAAGACAAGATTAGAAACTTCAGATTTTGCCAAACGCAGTCCATTTGTTCAGTTCCACAGTATGTGCTTGTTGTATGAATTATTGAGAAGTTATCTGCCAATACATCTGCATGAAGTGTATGAAGTCAAAAAAAAAGGACCGTAAATTGTCATTTGCAGGAGGAAAATTAATTATTCCAAACTGTTTCACAGAAACATTCACACATCGATGTCAACACAACTCAACAATTTGTCTAAAATGAAACACTGGTCAAGATTGTCGAGAAGACTGCATTTTTACCATCGCAAATACAAGTTTATAAAGAAATTAATAAATGATATATGGATATTTAGTGGTCGTTTTCAGTGTTGTCTTTATTGCTTAAACGTTGATGTCAAAGTTTGTTTGAAAGTCACAGAGCTTGTAATGCAGAAAACGTGAAATGTGGTTATTGTTGCAAGGTATTGTATTGCTGACATTGAACAGTCAGACCGGCTCTTACTGGGCCTGCAGGTTGTCACTCAGCTTTAGAGGGTGGGTGAGACAAAGTGACAGCGCTGTAAAACTCAGCATCACATTGTGCACTCTGTAGGGGTGACCCATTGACTGGCCCATACGCACTACTATGGAGTGGCTTTGGATCGCCGTGGCAACATGTATGCTCACGTCCTGCTCTGTCAAAGGTAAGTGCTAGAACAAGCAGGAGAGCAGAGCACACGTGAGGCTGTGTGCCTATATTTATTGTTACAACAGCCTCTGAAACAGGGCCTTTTTTTAATTTTCAGACAGATTGTTTGTGGTGCCTATAATGTTCATAGGATTTATAACAAAACTATATACAGGAGTACAGGTACATCTAGGAGTAAAGTAAAGACTGATGTACTTTTCTAAAAGTTACTTGAGAGATTTTTTTTGTGCTTTAAAAGATATTGTCAAAGTAAAACTACTTGTTTAAACGATAAACGCGTGGAAATAAGTGGCTTATTGGGCCATTCGAAAAGTTTTGAGTGGACACTTTGGAAATCATCCTTCTCTTTAAGGCAACGACTGGTGGTGGGAGTATGAGGAGGGGATACGACACTACAGCAAGGAGGCCCTACACAAGGTACTATTTAAACCTGGTCTTATCACTATCAACATAAAAATGTTATTGAGAAAATTAAATTCTCATACCAGATCATAATTTTGTTAGCTGAGTTAAATGTTTGTTCATCATTTAAACAGATTAAGTAACTGACCAAAAGCTCTGGTTGACAGATTTGTTAAAAAGACACCACAACTAAATTAAAGCAACGAAAACAATATGAGTATTTAACAATGGGTAACCTACTTTTAACATAAGAGGCAGGTTATCAGTGGGGGGAACAACTGACCATACCACATGGACCAGCAGGCATCCTAAGTATGTGCACAACAAGCATAGGTCTATCAGACTAAAGAAACATAATGTAGTTGCACAAAGACAGCAAGTCATAGGAGAGGTGAGGAAGAGGACAGGTTTCATCTCAAGGCTGTCTCCAGGACTTTCCCCTACGTGGGTCGCATATTCAACCAGCGTCTGAAAATAAATATTTTAAAGTTTAGACCTCGCAGTGAGGCCTCTCTTTTTTCCGTCTCAGGAGTTTCCAGAGAAAACTCGACCAGTGACCTTCAAACATCCCCCGTTCCAGTGCCCGGACATGAGTCCCTCTCCCTCCATCCCCTCCTCAGGTCAGTCTGTCAAGATCACCCACCCACCTTAAATCAATCTGTCATCCAAGAGTTAAAACTTTACATTAATTTCCTCTCTTTCGTCTCCATCTTTCCTTTCACACTTTGGTCCAGTTGAATTTGTGAAGGCGGCAGATATCAAAGTCATCGCCGCCTTGGGGGATTCACTAACAGTAGGTGTTATTTGTTGTTTTTTCTTCAGCTCCTATGGTATAAAAAATACTGCTGTTGGACCATTATACAATGTAAATCATGTTGACTAAATGTTACAGTAACAGTAGTGTAGCCTTATTACTTATCATTACTGTTTTTCAACTTTTGCTTTTTTTAAGCAGAAATGTGAATTGTTAAAGATCTCCTCAGACATGTCTTAAACATCCAAATGTAGGAACAAGAAGATAAACATATTTCTTGAATTTCCAATATCCATTGTGAAACTTACATTTACTACATGTTTACAAGGACACAGTACTCTTAAGAATGCAGTGGACAATACAAGAAATGCAATGTGTGTAGTTCAAATGACAGAATCACCTCCTCAGATGTCCTCATTTTCATCAGATGTTGTGTCTCTTCCTTTCAGACGGCCATAGGTGCCAACGCCACCACTGTCCTCGGGATTCCCATTGAGTATCGCCATGTGTCGTGGAGGTGACAGAAATCATGTGTGATGTATCATGTGATGGGTCTCTTGCACAGATAATAACCCTGCAGTAGAGTCAAAACTCAAAATAACACACACCATGTGTATTTAGAGAGAGAGGTGGAATTTCTTAGTTTGCATATAATAGGAATAGTAGATGAGGTATTCAGATTCTTAATTAAGGTACTAATAACACTGTAAAATACTCCATTAGAAGTGAAATTCCTGCACTGAAAATGTAACTTAAGTCAAAGTATGGTATAGTCAGAAATAAGTACCTGAAATGTTAATACTTGATGTAGAAAAATTTCCCCTGTGCCTATTATACAAAATGAGTGTTATTTTCATTATAGATCTGCTAATTATTTTCTCCATTAATTGATTAATGGTTTACAATCTTAGTTTATAAAGTAATTAGAAACTGAAGCAGTCAGATATTCGTTGTACAATATTTTCCTGTAGTGGAGCAGAAATATAAAGTGGCACGAGAGGGAAATTAAGTAAAACATCAGTATACTGCATGAGTACAGTACTTGAGTTAATGTCTCCACTGGTTTTGGTACTAACACTATTCTCTCTGACTTACCTTCATCTTACAGCATTGGAGGCTATGGGTCATTTCAAGATGCCATTACTTTGGCAAGTAAGATGTTTTGATCACCCACTATATCTTAGCTTACAGTATTGTTTTACATATATTCCATTATTTCTTTTCCGATCGTTCTTTTCAGATATCATCAAGCTGTTCAATCCCAATCTGGTTGGTGCTGCTCCCGGCAAGACGGTCCATGGGATGCAGGCTCATATCAGTGAAACAGGCTTCAACCTGGCTGTGACTGGACACAATACCTTGTAAGGACTCATCAGTATCACACCAACAGTGTTTGGATCACTATGAAACCAGTAATATCATAACCTTGTAGCCCAATTTCTGTTTGGGCTTCAGGCTACTTCCACTGAGAAATTGCATTTTCGTACAATAATGTGTGCTCTGTGACCTTCTGCTTTATTTATAAATGATGCTTTTAAAGACTGTTATGCTCTTTTCCCAGCAACCTCCCCGGCCAGACCAGACATTTGATTGACACACTGAGAGGTTATGAGGTACAGTAATGTCCTGTTTTCTCAGAAATGTAACAACAGAGTGTTGATGGAGTTATAGAGCTGGTTATTAAAGCCTGATAGCTGGAATCTGAGATATCCTACAGCAAGATGCTGTCCCTGAAAATGTTTTTATGGACCAAATTTACACCATGACCAGGGGCGGCTCTAGAGAGGTGGCATGGAGTGGCAGCTGCCAGCCATAAATAATGTCTTGCCACCCCCAGCTGCCACCCAAGTTTGGTGTCAAATGCTGTCAAATGTAACAATAATTTAATTATTTGTTAGACTAAGTGATTGGCTTAAGTTCAATGAAAATTGAATTAATGTGCCACAATAATGTAATGTTTTTGAGTTCAAATATCTTCATTTGGGAGCTTTTCCAGGCAAATATTTATATATATCATTGTTTGCCTTTAAAATGGCATATATTTCTGCCACCCCCTCTGGCCCCTCTGTTGTCTCTTTCTTCAGGGTCTGAACTTTGAGCAGGACTGGAAGCTTTTGACCATTCTCATGGGCATGAATGACATCTGTGATTACTGCAAAGATAAGGTCTGTCTTTCGTTTTTAAAATGGATTTAGTTGAAGGAAACAGGTTATTTTTATAGAATGACAAATATGTCATTAATCTCTGCAGAGTCTCCATGTTTTCTCCAGGCTCTATTTTCAGTGGATAACTTCATTCACTATATGACCGTCTCCTTGGAAATGCTTATGAATGAGGTAAAGTGAGAGAAGAGGAGGCAATACACACTTAGATTGCTCTTGGTGAGGTTTGTATATGCTGCAGGAATTCACTACAGCGTGGGTGTCTTCTTTGTGCTGTGCTTCAGGTTCCTCGTATGATCGTTAACATTGTTCAGATCTTGCCCATGCAGACTCTGAGGGAGGTGCAGAAGCCCACCCCAGGGTGCCTGCTCCAAAGGTGAGCCACTCTTTCATAACCTGAAGTCCTCCTATATTAATAATAGTGTTTTGTTTTTTATCACTTCACTGCGAAATATGATGTATGTGCTCAGTTTGATACTAGAAGGCTGTTTTCACATCAAAGGGGGGAAACATTTCTCTGGGGTCACTTTAGATCTCAGTTTAAGATGTACAAGCAGGTTTTTGAGGGAAAAAAATACATATATATTTGCATATTCATAGATTTTTTTTTTTTTAATGAGAAGGAGTAGATTTCATTGTAGCATTTTTTAACTTGGACACAAATTATTAATCCATGCAGAGTATTTTAATACGTCTTAATACATATCTGAAGGTGAGCTTTAAACCTACTACAACAAGTTAACCTAACTGGTTATTTAATAGTCTCAGTGTACGGTATGTATGTATGACATACATACACACACAAGACCATCAGTGAGAAGTTTGGATAGTTCTATATAAAGTTATCCGGGTCTGATTTGGTTGGAATCCCCTTGAAATCAATGAAATGAGGCGGTGCAACTTCTACCGTTTTTGTCCTCAGGTGCTGCCTGAATCAACACAGAATTAAAGTTCCTAGTCTGTTCTTCTGCGCCAGATATTTCTGTTTTTTCCTATTATTCCCCATAATATTATCCCCTGCTTCTTTTAATTTTTTACTCTAATTTAGGTCTTTCTGCTCGTGCCTGATAGAACCAGAAGCTAAGTCTCCTGAACTGCGGGAGCTGGTAGAAGTCAATCTGGAGTTTCAGGTACAGTTTTTACCTGTCAGTCTATTGAATGTATATGTTTTGCATCTTCTAATCGAACACTATATCTGTCCACGGACCCAAAACCAAATTAAAACTAAATAGATTTTCATGTCACTTCTGTCCACAGAAAAGACTTGAGGAGCTGCTGCACAGCGACCGTTTCTTCAGGGACAACTTTGCTGTTGTTCTTCAGCCCTTTCTGAAACACGCTGACCCTCCCCGCCTCCCGGTAAGCTATCTTCACTCCACAAAGGCCACAACAATGCGAACGTGGCAGGAGATGAATCAGTGTGAAACATTACACAGTAACAATTGACTCATGAAGATCCCAAGTGTGGCAGCTGTAGCTTTTGGCTTTGTTAACGCCAGGCTGAAAATGAGAAAGAAGTCACGTTTTCACCAGCGACACTCTCGCATCAGGTAATCTACACTTGTGCATGTTTTGTCTCTCTGAGCAGAATGGGAAGATCGATATGACCTTCTTCACTCACGACTGCTTCCACTTCACCATAAAGGGGCACGAGGAGCTGGCCAAGGGGCTGTGGAACAACATGGTGAACAATGAGTCGCACTGCTTGTATTTAATGGCACTGGAGGTTAAAGGTCAACAATCAACCCACTGACACTCGGAAGGATTTGTTATGTGAAGTAACAGCTGTGCTCACAAAAGGATGAAATGATAATGAATAATCTAGTAGAAAAAGCTGAAGGTTTCAAGCGTGGGAAAATGAAGGACACAGCTTCCTTGAAACGTTGTTTTCACTATTACTACAACTTACAGGATGTTTGTTTATGCCAACAAATCCTTTTCGCCTCTCTGTCTTCTGCTCACAGTTTCAGCCTGAGGGAGGAAAGTTGATGGTGAACAGTTTCTCTGACCCCATCGGCCTCATCTGTCCACCTACGGTAGGACCGTGTTGTTACTACACCAGAGCACCACGTTGCCTTTGTCTTTAACTTGAAAGGTTTCAGGCATTATTTAATTAAACAGCTAAACAACCAACTTACCTTCTTTCTTAATAATGTGTTGTCTGAGGAAAAATAGACTAGAACTAGCTGCATTTTTCCAAAGATGTTGTTTGTTTTTTATGGTAATTTCATGCCTTTGAGGGGATAAAGTGATTCTACTAATTTTAGCACAGAATGAAAATAATCTTGCTGAGGTTTGAAACTTTATTCAAATAGATAATCAGTCTGAGTTTAGATTTTATTGCCAATATTGTTTTATGAATGTTTTGCTTATACAGTTGCCAGCAGAGTTATTGTTAATGCATTCAAGGGAAGATCCATCTAGGATCAAAATGTTATTAATAAAATATTTATTTGTGTCAGTGAGTAAGTGTGCAGGCTTTACCGTTTTGTCATGCGGCCTTTATCTGACAGCCTTGAACCTGAGTGAAGTGCGTATCAACGTTTTCCTTCTACTAATGCATCCAAGGGACCTCAGACCTCTGAGACTTTAGAGTCAGTTGTTCCACACCAGATATATTAATCCTAAAATGTACCTATTTCACTGTATTAGTATGCACATGGATGTTTGTTTATTTTCTGCCGTCTGGGTTCTGTGTTTGTTTGTCCAGCAATTCTTTGGTTGTCAGAACATTTTAAATACAACCACTACCTTTCTGCTGATTTACCATGCAACAATAATATGAATAATGAATGAAATATAATTAAATAAATAGAACTAAATTAAATATTCACTGTAATTGGCAAGTATGCAAGTAGATTTATATAAAGCTGTGAAATTAATGGAAACCAATGATTGCAAATCAATGTAAAAACTATGTCATGCTTTAGAAAATGGTCCCCGCTGATGTGTAATTATAGAGCTGATGCAACATGCAAAACCACCAGTGTAGTATGCTCCTTTATATGTGTAAGTGATCATAACATTCCATATTCTCTGTGTCTCATCTGTAGGAACACCCATATATCTTTACCCGGCCGCTTTCAGCCAAGTCAGGCCAGCCTCAACTGCAGTCTAATGCTCAATCACAGGCAGCCGTCTACCTGCTCATCTCGCTCCTCGTGGGTTTGGGATGTCTTGGATTGTAGCTTTCCCTCTGTTGGACTACTATACAAGCATGTCACTGCTACATCGGTTACTGTTTAGGTAATACAGCGGATCATCTGCAGAGGAGAGTTTGTGAGCCATTCTTTCCAACTTTGCATGTCTGTGACCCCAAATAGCCGCATAGAGGAAATGACTGTGGTCATCTGATTGGATCTGAAAACCCCACTGATAATGTGACAGTGACTCCTGCAACCAAATATTTCAATTCTAGGCAGTTGCAGGTGCAGGTGGTGAGCAGCTTTCTCTGCATGAAACAACTGCTGCTCTTAGCAGAAAGTTTTATATTTTGCTTTAAAATTTGAATTTCTCATCCTTGGACCAAGATGACTGACCAGTTCTGACCACACACCGACTGTGGGGATGGGACAATCATCTACGTTTCTCCACATTTGTAATTAAAATAATATACTGTAGGTGTATTTTTAAGGAAAAGTCTTGCCAAGTGCTGCTTTAACTTAACTGCCGATTTTGTAACTAGCGAGGCATGAAGTAACAATTTCTGAATTGTTAATGTGACATTTATACATTCATACATGAGACATTAAACTAACTCGACTTTACCCAAAACCAAGTGAATGTCTGTCAAATCTGTGATCATGTTTTATTTAACTACTTACATTTCTCTGATATTAACAAAGTGCATTAGGTTCTATTGTGTTGCACTGACAATAATAAAAGGTCCAGACATGCATCAATCACCAGATTAAAATGAATTTACCTGAGAGGCCAACTGAGCTTCGATTCTCATTTCCAGCAACATGCAGTGTGCATGCATAGTCACGCAGAGCGACCCGACTGCCGTAGAGAGCCCTGATCAGCTCACTGGAATAATTTAAAGATGGAACAGAGTTTGTCTTCCATATTACCCACTGTGACTTTTCAAACCAAAGACACTTTAGTCACATGTCTGCTCCTCAGATCTCCAGGCTGCTGCTGGCCCACTTTCACTTCTTGGCCCTTCAGTACCTACGTTATTATGCACTGAGCACTAGAAGAGGGAAAGGAAACCACCAAAGCGAACAAAAACACTGAATATTGTACATGCTGCTGGATGCTGAGCAGAAGAATCATTGTTTGCCTGCACACAAATGATGCCCATTCAACATAAGTAGCTGTGGTATATGATCATCCACTACAGGTGAGTTTCCTATTCTTCTGCTGTTTGGTTTAGAGCGTACATTACAATATGTATTGACTCTGTTTGATTAGTATGATTACAAGGGCAGGTGGAAGCTATATTAAGTGCAGCTCAGGTTACTTACTAAACTATACAGAATGTACTCTGCATGATGGGGTTGAGTTGTATGGGATGGTTTTGTAAAACCTTCAAGGTAAACATGTCTCACTGCACATAATGCAATAGGAGAGATTCATTTTGATGCGTTTACAGAGTAAAACATTTTTATGGAAAAGACACTAAAACTTGAGTCTAAAAAGAGGATTTTTTAATTTATCACCACGAGTTTGTACTTTAGTTAACCATGCACTTCTAGGATCTAAAATATGTATTTCCCCTGTCCCCATTTTCTACCATTTCTCTTGGATGTTGCAGCGGTCTGAATTTCAATCGGCCCTTGTAGCTGCTGGATTTCATAATGACCTTATTACTGCATTCAAAGAAAAACCCTCTTCATATTTAAACAAAGCCGTTGCCCGTTTATGCAGGACAAATATGGATGACGTAAATTGGCCTTTATTGTCTCTCTGAAAGCATAATGAGATCTTTGGGATCTCAGTGGACGGAGCAGTAGGAAATTTGAAACAGCAAACAGTCCAACCCACACATCGGAAACTCTTGGTCTGCTGTTTTTTAAGTGAATGTATCAGTAACAAAAGAGGAAATAACCTCATAGGGCTCATGTACATCTGGGGCTCAGTGCTTATGAAGTAAAAGAGAGCAAACAATTTTAGGATGCTCCATAGGTTGGTTGTATGTACAATGAGTCTGTTCCTATAATACATGGAAAGACCTTTATGTAATGACACTGTAAAACAAACAAACAAATTACTGCGAGCCATTAGGTAACACTTCATAACAGGTTACAATTTACTGCATGCTCAAAAGTAATAAATAATAATAAAATAATACAGAATCATTCGGTATTGATATTTTACAGACACTTTTTCTTATTCTACCAAACTTGATGGAGTCCAGTTATACAGTAAAGGGCTTTTCAGATGCAAATACATGTTGCTGTTTGACCCAAGAAAAAAATCAATCTCTGGTAATATATAAATAAAGTCACAATTAGATTACTAATGTTGGTGTTAGAAGAAAAGTCAGAGAATTACTAAAAGATTCTTCATCTGGTGACCATGTCTGTACTAAATTGTGTACCAGTTCATCCAGTAGTTGTTGAGATGTTTCACAGAATAAGTTAAAATGTTAAGCCATTAGAGGAAAATACATCAATGAACCTTTCATGGCAATGCATCTCAAAGTTGTTGAGATATTTCAATCTGGGCCAAAATGTTGGACCGATGACCAGCAGACCAACATTGCCATCCATCGAGCTACTAGCATGGCTAAAAACAGCTTCATATTTCCATGACAACAGGTGCTAGTGGACTGAAATTCTCCTTTCCATGTAAGTGGATTCCATCTAATTCAGTGGCATATTAAATAATAGTGAAATAACATTATTTAGTTGAAGATTTCAATTAAAGGCTGTTATTTAAGTGTTAACTAATCACATAATGTCATAGTGATCTGATCATTTATTAATGTTGAGCAACAAGAATGAATGATACATTAAGCCATGCATTGCTTAACCATGTTTTGTACCCTATAAATAGATTTGAATCTATACATCTATAATGGTCCCAACAATGGACTTTCCAGGAGGAATCCACCAATAACATCTTGTAGCACACCATATCAGATATTATATTTATTAACCCACATTTATAAGCTATATTATTAACCTGTAACTGTATATCTCATATTAGGTCACAAACCGTTTTGCTTCCATGTTGATCCCATTTCGCCACTGATAAGAAGGACGAATGCTGCATTGTCTTGGGTTATGAAATGTGAAAAAGGGCCAGCTGCTCACATGATCAAAGTAGGCACTGCAACAGCCATGGCAGCAATCATGTTCAATAAACTGTCACCTAGCAACACATTCACGTTGTCAAGAGACATGATCAGCAAATACAGTCTGATGATACCAGCTTTGTCCTCTATGGGAACACAACAGAATGGAGTCAGATACATCAAATCTGTGCTTCTGTTCTCAAAATGTCATCCCTGCTTCAGATTAAAGACACAACTATAGTATGTAGTTTTATAAGTAAGGTGACAGCAGAATAGACCTTTGCAAGTCTTTTGATAGTCGTTGCCAGGCCACCTGTATAATTAAAGTCAAATGGAAGTAAGTAAAAAAAAAATACTGAAATCTATTCATATGAGTGGAAGACATCACTTCCTTCCTCCTGCATCACTATGAGGTACTCCAAACCTGTGCACGCCCTGACAACCACCGAGGTACGATCAGGTACAATAGTGATCATTTGTCCCAGGATGATGTCACTTCCTTTCTTTACATCGTCCTATAAAAGCGGGTGCTGTTGCGTTGCGGTGAGGTGTTGGTGGAGAGACCGGAGAGAGAGAGGACGGAGAGGCAGCCGGGTTACCGACGCTACAGGAGATTTAGCTCTCCAGAAATACCGAAAGGCGGCTAAGTTTAGTTCAGAATGCGTCCGTAATCTACCGACTGTCTCCAAATCAAAACCTTCTGATATAAGCTTCGCTATTTTTTCTATTCCTGGAGAGCTTAATGCGCCTCGTCTCCACAAAAAAAAAAAAAAAATGATCGGGAGAGGACTGCTCATTGTGACCGTACTGTCCAGCTGCGGTAAGGGAATCCTCATTGAAGTTCACTGATGAGATGGTACAGTCTGTATGTTGAGAGGAAACCTGCTTTAAAAGATGTGAGTGCCGGGTGGGTTTCAGCACCAAGGACAGCGACTAACACAGCTTTAATTGCGGCGAAAGATGGAGTGAATTCACCTGCACCTTTGGCACATCCAGTCCCTTTTTACCTAAAGCCTGTGTGTGTTTTAGTAACAATGAGAATAACACCAGAGCTTTAGGGATTATAGAAATAGCAGATAATGATGGGGATGATTCATGGTTTTTTTTTCTTCTTTTCTTGCTTTTCTTGCAGTTCTGTCATTGCCACTGACTCCAAGTCAGCTGGAGAATGAGGATGTAAAGGTAAAGATTTAGTTAGTATTTCCACTGTTATTTGTATTAATATGTGAGTGTTATTGTTGTTGCAGTGACAGTGAGTCCAGTCCTTCTACTTGCCACACTCAAAAGGCAAGCAGTGTTTAAAAATGCCTAATCTGACCAGTTAAGTTTACTGGAGTCTCTTCTCCACTGGGGATAATCTCAGTTTGACCTTGCTCAAATCAATAGATACCATTCTGGTAGCAATGGAGAGCCTTGACCTCCATCATTTGGTACTGCTGGATCCATTTCACATCTTGAGAGAGAGAGAGAGAGAGAGAGAGAGAGAGAGAGAGAGAGAGAGAGAGAGAGAGAGAGAGAGAGAGAGAACGAACTATAAAGGGGAGATGTGGACAATGCTGAAAGAGAGATAAAAGTTGTGAAATGGGACTGAGTAACATTCAAAGATCTGGCGGGCGTGTGGGATTGGCTTGACATTGAAAGCACAATGGGAATTGAAATGATTTTGATCTCTCATCTAAGAGTTTCATATCTTTGAATTAGTGGCTGAGTTAGCACAAGAGCAGCATCCAGAGAGAGGCAGATGAATTTTAATCTATAAAGCTGTGTAGATTTATGCTCTTAGTGGAGGACTGTTTTTTGTCATTCTGATTGCAGTGGCATCCTAGTTTTAAAACCACACACTCACCAAAGCTGACAATTAAAACAATTACATTATCCACATCAATCATATAGCAAAGTTCTTTGAGTCATTTTGTGCCCTATCTGTGTCCGCAGGTGATGAAATGCATTGTGGAGGCGTTGGGAGATGTGCTATCAAGGCCCCACCCTGTGCCTGTCAGCCAGGAGTGTTTGGTCACACTAAAGACAGGTAAGCCCCACCCAAAGGACGACAGTTTGGTATTAATCGCACAGTGTTTTTGACCAAATACCTCAATTTCAATCATTTTAAATTTGGGTCATTTATTTTTGTATGGACGAGTATATAGCATGGAGCAATGCCACAAACCACATTTTTAATAGCCTTATCCCCTAGATCAGTCTTTATACAAATACAAAATACTCAACAAAAACATACCAATTTTTGGCTTTATTGTTGTAGATGCTGTTTGTGACCAAGAAGTTACACAGTGCCTCAAATGTGAAAATATCGTTGAGTGCATAAAAGTATTTGCAGCATGAAATCATGAAATAAAACATGTTTTTTTTGGCACCTTGCTTACTGTTTTATCTTGTTTCTCCTCAATTTTCTGAGGATTTGTTTGGCCATTTTTAATCAATAATTTGACTCATAAAAATAAAAGCAATAAAGACGCATGAGTTCTCACATTCAAAAAACTGAGTAAAAGACGATACGATTCTCT